ATACATATTGATAATGTGTGAAAATAATAAAATACAAGTAAATCAAAATTTATTGAATGTTTATTTTTTTAAATATTGCTTGGTTTTAAAATTATCATTAAATTATTCTTAAATTATTGAACAAGTTTGATTTTTAATTTTTAATAATTGTTAAACTTAAGAATATTTATTTTGATTAATTGATATTAATAATGACTAAAAAAGTATACTTTTGTGATAAAAAATAAAAATGTTGTAATAACTTTGTACAATGTTTTAAAAATATTAGTTTATTCATTATCATTAAAAATGATAAGGGAATGCTGTACTCTGATGAATTGTTTTATAGTGTTCCTCAGAGAACACCCATATACCTATTAATTATTATATTGTTTATAAATCATATAGTATAAATATACTGCTTTTGAGCCTCATTATTAGGTACATTAACTAACGGGTGAATTTCAAAATGCCTAATTTTACATAGAGTCTAAAAAGTTAAAAATATACTATAGATAGTCTGAAAATAAAATATAACTATAAAAGCACTGTAAGAAATGTATATTTTACTATAAATTTATTTGGATTATATGGATAGATAAATTGATAAACTTTACAATAATTTACTAGTTTTTTAGTTTTATTCACTAAAACTTGTTATCTAAAACCTCATCTTGAAGCATTTTTCTATCTCTAATATTAATAAGTTATAACTAGGGCCTGGATTTTTATACAAATGCATAATCTTCTACAATTGACTTATAATAATTCTGATTAAATAATATCTTGGCATTTTGTAGTACATAGATTCTGGCATTTTACTATTAATTTTTTTTTTGCATACTTGAATCAAAATGCATGATAATTGCATATTTCTGGATAATTACATAAAATATATAATTGTTGAACTAAAATAGTTTATACTGAAAGTTTTAAAATAAAAAATACATAAAATGTACATATTTTATAAATACTAAGTAAAATATTTTAAATTTTATTCAAAGTTTGATATATTTATATATACTGATATTTCTGACAAATATAATTTGACCGAATAAAACAAAATATTTTAGTATAGAAAATTATGGCGATAGACATATTAAAACGTCAAATAATAATAGGGGTGTTATATTAAAAATATAGATAAATATATAATATATAATATACATAATCTGATTTCTGGAACATAAAATTAAGCCAAAATAATATTGATGTCAAGGATATGTCTTAGGAGTAATAATTGATTCTCTTCAGAAAATTTAACAAAACTTAGAAAAGACAAATTTTCAAACAATTTTGAAATTATTCAATGGTTCAATAAGTATTTTATGGCCTGAAAAAGTATTGCATGATAAAGTGTTATTGTATGCCACAGATGCTGCTTCTTATATGGTAAAATCTGGACATGCGCTAAAGGTATTTAATCCTAAACTAATTCATATTACTTGTATGGCCTACAGGCTTCATAGTTTATTAGAAGTTATTAGAGATAAATTCTTAAATATTGATTTGTTAATATTCAATAGAGAAAAAGTTTTTTTTATTAGTACCTACTTGGGTTAGTACTTTTAAAGAAAAATGTTCACACTTAAGTTTACCACCACAACCTATTATTACCCAACGAGAAACGTGGCTTGATGCTGCCTTTTACTATGGTAAGAACTTTGACAAAGACAAAGAAGTTGTCGAGACATATAACCAAAATAATGTAAAGTCTATTCAAAATGCATAACAATTATTTAATGTTAACTTGATAAAAAATGAACTTTCAGTAATTCTTTCAAATTTCTAATACATAACAGATACCATTAAGTGTCTAGAAACATATTAGGTGTTAATCTTAGAAAAAACCTAGAATTGGTTCAAAATGAAAATAAATTGAGTAAAGAAGGACGAGGTATTGAATTTGCTTAAGTTAAACTATCGGAAGTATTATTAAAAAATCTGATCATTATAAATTAAAAAACTCTAGAATTTTAAGCAGAGAAATAAGTAACAATGATGAAAATCTTGTTTGGAAGATATTTCTTGTTTCAAATACGTATCCATTGTGTCAGCAGGTGTGGAAAGAAGTTTTTCGAAGTAGAAGACGATGCTATTTGACAATTGTAGAAGTTTTCAATTTGATAATTTAAAAACACATTTTGTTACATCATAATGGTAATCGTTCAATAATTAATATAAGTTTTTACGCTATATACACATTTTAAATACTAATATTTAAATTTAAATTTTTTTTAATATTTTTTATAAAACACACAATAAAAAAATGTTTTTGTATATTTTTAATTTTTGAGTACATAAATATATGTATATTTATCAATAGTTTTTGCATAAAAATCCGAGCCCTATCTTACCAAATATTTTTTTATTTTTTTTTAAATTTTATAGATAAAACCTATGAATTACATTACTAAATATAGTAATTACAATTTCATTTTATTTTAACTTTAATTTCTATTTAATAAATAATTACTAGGTATAATTAAAATTTGATGCAATTCAACATAAAACAACATAATAAGAAAACCAAATCTAACTATTTAGCTTAAATATTTTATAGGTAGTTACTTAAATTATTTATTCTATTTTATATTTAAATAAATAACAGTAAATACAAGAAAAATTGATAGAAGTATTATAGTTAATAGTTATTTATATTACCATTTGAAGAAGCAAATTCTGCTAAACATGTATCGAAATACATTTGAAGTCGATCAATTTGGTTGATTAAAATACCCCTAAATGCTACAAGTTCATTGAGTTTATCTTGCAAGCCCTTGTTTTTCTTAAACACTGGTGACATGGTTGACATATTACTAGATAATATAGAAAGTGAACTGCCATTGCGCTTCAGATTATTTTCACTGCCGTATCCAGATTCAGCTTTAAGTGAGTCAATCACATCGATCCAATGATTTTTAGTTGCTGATGAGTCAGCTCGCAAATACCAAGCACAATCGTTTAGCGACACATCAAATCGGCAATCGTCTACTTCGTGCACCTATAAAAATAAACTACTGTATAATTTCAAAAAATAAATTAAATAATTAAACACTATTCTCTATCAATTATCCAATTATCATACTTTTACAGTTGCTTTTAATAGACTTATCGCACCGCGACATCCACATTCGGTTTCTGATTGTGATTTGAAGTATAACAAGGTGCCGTTCTTCAATACAAAATAACGTTTTTGCCAGCCGTGTAAGAAGTTTGTCCACTTATTTAGGTACCCTTGCAGTTCAATTTTGACTCTATCTTGGGTGTCCTCGTCGTCTTCGTTGATCTGGGCTATGGGACAGTCAGCCATCACAATGGCTCAATTTATTTTACACTATCACTAATCGCTATAAGTACATTTCAATCATTTCATACACGTATACATTCAACTATTATATTATTGACGACCGTCATTCAATAACATAATTAATTGAACACAACCACGCCTATATGATGATTGAATTGTATAATATAGCCCATTAAAATCACTTGAACACCATAATAAAATGTAGTTTTAGTAATTGAAAATATTATTATTGAATTCTTTATCAATCTTATCACTATCTTGTTGAAAGTTTCCGATAGTAATATTTTTGAATTACGGGCTGCTACAGTGCATCCGTAATAGACAACGAAATATGAACGCGTACAAATTGTCCAAAGTCGTGCACTATCACAAGGTACTCTATTATCAACTTGGTAAAATATTTGAATAAAAGTATTCCATTGAGATAGGATAGATAAACATTAAACAATACTGGAGCGCGCTTTTACTACAGAATCTGTGCTTATACCAAAAACGTAGTGAGACGAAAACGAACAATGTCTTGAACGCTACTAATGTTTCACCATTAAAGAGCAAAAAATATAACTGCCATTTTGTGAACGTACTAAAGAACCTTAACGCGTCAATAGTTTGATGACTTTGAACTTACTTACAAGTCTACTTATAAAGTGATGTAGTTTTACATAGATAAAATAATAAATACACAAAATTAATAATAATTTAAATTGACACATTAATATATAAATTTATCGTACTTACTACTTACTCCTTCAGTAATCCTTTAAAAATAAAAGTGACAATTATTTTACAAACATTAAAGAATACCCAAAAATGCATGAAATACAACTTCCATTTATTGTCGTAAGTAGATACAGCAATATTCTAAAAAATTGCATAAAAATAGTCGTACTTTGATTAAAGTATTACCAAATGATAAATATTTAATTTAAGATATTAAAATATAATACTCTAATAGGTGGTTATTCTTTCAAAATATATACCTATTATAAATAAGCCTATATAGGTACATAGGTAAATAAGCATGGGCACCCTCAGAGGGGCATGACGGGGCTATTACCCCCCTAGAATTTTAAATTTGTTATACTCAATTGTAATAATTTAATGTAATAATGACATATAATAATAATGTACTTTAAATAATACGTGTAAAAAAACCTTCATTAATTTTCTAAATGAATTCCCCCCCTTCGAAAAATACCCAGGATCGCCCATGTAAATAAGTAATGTGGAAAATGGGAAACAAATACAAATTCAAAACAAAATAGGATATATTTATGTTATTTATATTTTAAACATAAAAACTAATTTAAATTTAATTTTTAAAGATTTCTAAATATTATTAATTTAGTTAATTTTTGTCTCAAAGAACTTTTATTTCTTAAAACCAGAACTTTTAAGAAATACTTTCTTTAATTAGTAATTACTTTTTTAGGATAATGACGCATTCTAATATTTATATAATATTGTCACTAAGAGCAGAGAACAGACTATGCTCATGACTAGAAGAACCAAAGTCAACATTTATTGGATGAGTATTAGAGAAAAAGAATAAATTTAACTTATTTAATTTTTTTACGTTTTTTTTTTTTTTTTTTATAATTACAATAAGTTGAAAAGATTTTTCTAGTTCTTTAAGAAGTAATGAAACAGGGAGAGAAACTATTTTTAATTCTCATCATCCGTAGAATTTTTAATACTCTGTATTATTAATTGAGTTAAGTGAATTATTTCGTTGAACATTTATCGTAAGTTATAACTAGTATTTATAATCAATAATATTATTATTAAAAAAACTGATAAGAATTTACCTTTAGATACCTATAATAATAAATATGTCTCATAAAAAATATTATTGTTATGATAATAAGATGATAATTAATATCATTTTTTATTTTGTTTTGTTAAAAACTATTGTCACTTATAGTACCTACATATCTAATAATCAATAATCAATATTTTATACCTATATACTATCTTACATTTCGAACCATTTGTAAGTATGGAATTTAAATTGTTTTCCCAGTTATTGTATTGTATTGTTCGAATTAAGTTCAATCAAAGCGTTGACATTGTTGACAACATAAAACAATTATTGATTGATATAGAATTTTAGTTCCTATACTCATTTTATAAATATATATCTCCCTAGTACTGTATATACTACTGGTTATTGCACTATACGCACTAGTAGAGAATATATAAGAGAAGGAGTGGAACAAGGGAAGAGAATAAGATAGCAATATATACAGAAAGTCTTAACACTACTATTCATTGCATATTAATGACAATATTATCATCACTGATGAATTTAACGACTATAAATGATCAATATAAATTATATTTAAGCAAACTGTTGGAAAAGCGTCAGGGCCTGGGGTGCTAAACGTGTATGCTCATATATATATAATTATGTAAGTATAAATATATAAAAAGGTAGAGGTAATATATCTATAATAATATTATATACGTAATGTGTATACATGGTTTCTTTGAATGATGAAATGCAATTAAGAGTATTTATACATCATAAAGAGCTGTCTTTGGTATATTTTAAAACATTTATATGTTTATATTTTGTTCCATGCCAAGAAATTCTTTATGGTAAATCGTTTCCATACAACACAAATATACACGAATAATAAATGGGAAAATAATTGCCACCATTAAAAGGAAACACCTCTTTAGACCCACCCCATAACGCGATTACCTATCTGATTCAAAATAATATTAAAAACAAAAACATTTAACATTTAACATAAAAATGTGAGTCAAATAATAATATCACAAAAACAATACATTACTTACACTCTTTATTGTTGTATTTTGAGGAAATGTTAACCGAGTTTGTACCTACAAATAATTTTTTTTATGAAAGTATAAGCAGTGATAAACGTAGTCTCAAGTAAAATCTTTCTAAACATTTTCTGAATGACGTATATTATATATTTTATTAAACGTACAATGACATTTTCAAAATATTTTTATTAATTTTAAGCCATTCTTATTTACACTATGAAATTATTCACATAATTTTAAGGAGTGAAGTGTAATATTGATTCAATAAACAATAATATATGAAATAAAATATATTATATTATTATAACAGCTAAATATTAATAATAAAATAAACTCAATTATTTTAGATACAAATTTAATAAACCAACTAATAGCAAAATAAATAATTAATTTAATCGTAATTTCAAAAAATATATCATGAAATAACCTGATAGTGATATAGACATTATTGACTGATAGACAGATTGGCGCTCAGTATCGTTTTTTGTATACTACGCTATATTATTGAATTTAAATTTAATTCATCCATTAGAGTAACCCACTGGAAACCTATTGTAGTGTGAACTGTGAAGTGATATCCACTTCTACCTTTTTAAATTGAATTTTTAATTAGGTACGATCTTATATCATGAAATGATGTAATTATTATTGTATTCATATACAAATACAGGGGGTAAAATATATAGAATATAATGATAACATATTTTTCACTTTTAGCCTTTAGGTATTAGTAGTTAATAAATATCCTATAAGCTACAATAAAATAACTTGCAATAAAACAGAAAAATAAAAAAAAAGTGTAAGAGTGTACCTTCATTTATTGAATATCCAATCACGTTACAATACACAGATATTTTTTTTATTCTAATAGCAACACATAAAAACAAATACTACAATTTATTGATTGACATATAAACTAATAATACTATAGATTGGTTATACCATAGGTTCATAATTTAATAATAATAATAATCTTAATTTTGGTAGGTCAATTATGTTCTTTAACCATCATTTTAATAGTCTAAAAATTGTCATTAATAAATAATAATGATATTATGAAGCATTATAATGAAATATTATAATATACTATTAAATATTTTCATGATTAATATTATAAAATGTATATTGTTATTATTTATTTATATATATCCAAGCATAAATGTACCTAAACTATTATAAAACGTTAGGTCCACAAATCACACTAAAAAATTTAAAAATAATTTTTATTCCATTTTTGATTGCAAAATGAACATTAAAAAAATTACAATTATTATTATTCTAATTTTTCAAATTTGTTAATTTTATAAATACAAATATATTCGTACATATTTAATATTATTTAAAATGTAATAGAATATTTTTTGGAATATTTTTATTTTTAATATATACAAATAACGATTAATTAATAAGTATAATACATATAAGTAACTTATAAGTTATAAATTAAGTTAAAAGTATTTAAATACTACAATTTTTCCAATAAGTTTTTGTATTTTTTTAAAAATATGAATATTTTTTTATGATTTTTATTAAGCAATAGTATATGTACAACATTTTTACAGTAAATAATTTGTGTAAAAATGATTGTTTTATATTAAAAATATTTAAATATATATATAAATATACTCAGGTAATACATAAATATATCAAAAACCAACATGTAAATTATTGGTAAAACAAAATAGTAGGAAATAACTAGAAAATTTGAATATTATTTTGATATCACCAAAATAGATTATTTAAATAATCTTTTATCCATGTATTATTTTATTGTTTTTAAAATTATACAATATAAATTTAAAAATCAAGAATTTTAACGAAATAAGTGAATACTTTCTACATTAAGATAAAAATCATTTGCTGTATAGTATAACATATTTCTGGATCTATAGGAAGCTATTTTTATTTTATTTTTTAATCTTACTTATTATTTTTTTTTTTGTATAAGTGGTAACAGTAATATTTAAAATAAATATCACATATTCTGAATAAAACGTGCATTTCAAGTATTTTTCATTTATCTAAAATGACATGTGTGAATCGCAGTATAATTAATTATCTATTTTAAATATATTGTCAGTAGAACATTCGTCTTTTATTAGTATAAGTTTAATGATAGATAATATATCGTATAGGTATTAGGCATGGAATATACTCACATATTTTACAAACATTCATTTGTTTCTTTGTTTATACATATATAGGATGATAATAATTTGCATTCCGTTGTATTGTTTCTCGGATACAATATTTCATGATGGGTATAAATGTATAGTGTTATTAAAAATTATACATATATTTTATTAATTTACAAATACACATTTAATAATATATAATGAAATTATAATATTATACTGTACATTATAATATAATATGCACCAAAATATGTTCCACTAACTGGTTTGGGTTATTAGTTAATACCGTAAACAGAAAAAAGTA